AGATATATAGAAAAACTTGTGTTAATTTTTAATGAGAGGTTCAGTCCACAGATGGTTCTTCTATTTAGTTATTCTAATGATGTCTAAAACATAACTTAATAACCATGTGACCATGCATGTGTAGTATTGTGGAGTTGATTAGAATTCGGATCATTTAGACCAACTTCGATGCGATACCAAAATATCAAATTTGATGTGATTTTATCTCTAATATAATACTAAAAATAATATTTTTCTATTAAATTGGTGTAATACTATTCATCACACCAAATATTTAATATTATTTTTTATTATGTTTTATTTAATAATATATTTTAATTATTATTATTAGTTAATTCAAATTAGTAATTAAGCATAAATATACTATATTATTTTAAATTATATTTATTTAATTAAAACATCTTAAACATTATTTTCAAGTAAGAAATCACTAAATGACTATTATCATTTACTGTATATTTTTACAATTAAAATATCATAAAAATTTTAATCAATAATGAACAATTAATAATATACATTATTGTACATTAATTAGATTTAACAGTAAATAATTAAAATTTTATGTGATATTATTAAATTCACCAGACTTTAAAAATACAATTTTATTTTATTATTTTATAATATAGATAAAGTTGTATTGCTAACTAATACAAAGTTTATTAAAATACATTTATTATTTTGTTATGTGTTTTTTTCATATTTAATATTTTTGCAATTTAATATAATTAATATTTTATATAAATTAAATATATAAAGGTATACTATTGTTAAACCGAAAATATAAATGTAAATAAGTTTTATAAACATAAAATTACAAAAATTTAACAAATATAATATCTAAATGTGATAAAATAATTATTTATCAGTTACAAATAATAAAACTATTAAGATATTAAAATTTAAAACATTAAAACATCAAATTTGTTGTAATTTTAACAACAAATTTGATGTCTGGTTGGAGATAGTTTCCCAAAGTTGGTCTACCAATAGACCCTGTATAGTTGTTCTCCATTACCATAACTACATCGAGAAGTCAAGAAGAGAGGAGAGTGTGTGAGTCTTGTCTTTTGTTTCTTTTATTACACACAAACAGATGAAACGAGGAAAACTACTACTTCTTTTGCTACTTCCATAAATAGGTCCTTTCTAACGCAGATAATCAAGTTTCTTCATCGTCTTCTCGTCGCCCCACCATCAATACTACTTATATAGTCTCTTATAATCCATCTATTTATACATAATCGTGCTTCTTAGTTTCCTCTTCTGTTAATCTCCTTAAAACCTTCCTGTTAGGTTTTTCAATCCTTTTGGCCACAGGTAAGATCCTTTGTAATGATCTTTTCTACTTTTTGATTAGTCTGATGGATCTACTTTCAATTTGGTCGATTTGCTGTATTGTTTCTGGAGATTTTTGTTTTTGTTTTGTTTAGGCTAAATCTCATGAAAGGTTGCATATCTTTCAATTAACACCTAAACAAAATAAAATAAAGGTTGCATATTTCCTTCTTTTTTAAGCTATCCATAGATCAACTATATAAATTTCTACTTTCGATTGGTTTGCTTTTTATGTACTTAATCATCTTATCTCTTGTTTTTTTTTTTTTTTTTTTGAAACCTATCTTATCTCTTGTTTACTTCATCAGTCTCCTTACACCAAAAAAAATCCCTCCGAATGGGTTGCTATGCATATAAAATGGGTTGTTTTATGTGTGTGAATAATCTTGTTATTGAGGTGGTTGCACTCTTGATCTCATGTTCTCTGCAAGTTAACAAAAGATCTTATATACATTTTTCCGTGAAGAAAAATTAAACAAGGAGTAAGAGATGGTGAGGGGAAAAACTCAGATGAAGAGGATAGAGAATGCAACAAGCAGACAAGTGACTTTTTCTAAACGAAGGAATGGTTTGTTGAAGAAAGCCTTTGAGCTCTCTGTGCTTTGTGATGCTGAAGTTTCTCTGATCATCTTCTCTCCTAAGGGAAAACTTTATGAATTCGCCAGCTCCAAGTACGTTTTTATATAAACCCTCTATAGAGCGAATAGAGATAGAGAGAGAGAGTTTATAATATCTCTTGGTTTATATATGGATTTGATTTGTTTGCTATTTGTAGAATTACATCTCTTTGACGTTTGCTTAGAGAGGGTGTTAAATGGGTTTCTTGGTTTCTACAATGTTTAGGCTACTATTAAAGTAAAATCAAGTACACCATCTTGTTTTAATTGTTTGAGATGTCTCTCTCTCTCTCTCTCTCTATCTGTCATATTTAGTTTCTGATTTATGATAAAAGTTAAAATGCCAAAGAACTCTCTGGCAAGTACTTTTGCACTTGTTATATATTAGATCATCTCTTACTAGAGGTCATGATCATATACACGTACAATAACTCCCTTGAGTTTGTATACATTTCCTTTTCTTGGTTTCATCCAAAGATCATAATTATGTTTCAATTAGCATTCTTTTTTTAGATGAGACACAGTCTGGTTAAATCGTAATTTATCTTTAGGCTTAATTACAGTAAGATAGGGTTTCTCTAAGTGATGATTAGGACATTGCTTTATCATTCCTGATAGATAAACCACCCATGCTTCATTTGATCTTCACTCCTAATTTAATGCAATCAAATTGCTCACTACTACTGTTTTCTACTTGATTTTGCATCCATACTTAAGCCGCAGTATTAATAGAGATTGTTTTACGAATGAGAAAAATTATATTGTACAGTTAGGTAGAAGGGAAACCAACATCTGTTCATTTGTGAAAGTACATACTTCTCTCAACCTACTTAATAGCATAAAGAAAAGAGACTCACATGTCTTTGGTTTTCCAAAATTGGGGGTAAAAACCCCAAATAGATACGGTTTCCAAGTCATGTGATTACTTTGACTAAGAAAGATTGTTATGCTCTTAAATTGTCTGCATTTGAGTTCCAGTTCCAAAGAAATTGAGTTTTTTTTATTACACTGTGCTAACTTAATCTCTGATGAATTAATGTTTTAACAGTATGCAAGATACCATAGATCGTTATCTGACGCATACCAAGGATCGAATCAGCAACAAACCGGTTTCTGAAGAAAATATGCAGGTTAATTACGATCTTGTGTACCTGATGATGACATCAAGTACCAGTTTCTTATATAACTACTTAAGTACAAAGATCAGAATGACTTAGGAAAAAATAATTATAGTCTGAATATAGTCTCAATGTCACATATTAGCATCTCAATGTCAGTATTAGCCGCATATTAAGAAATGATCACATGCAATAACATTGTTGATATAACCAACAGCATTTGAAACATGAAGCAGCAAACATGATGAAGAAAATTGAACAACTTGAAGCTTCCAAACGGTACAAACACGTCATAGCACACTTGTATTACTGTATATATCATGTGGTAAGAGTGTGGTCGTATTAAATGTTTTTCATTCGTGCTTTAATTAGTAAACTCTTGGGGGAAGGCATTGGATCATGCTCGATTGAGGAGCTGCAGCAAATTGAGACCCAACTTGAGAAAAGTGTCAAATGTATTCGAGCAAGAAAGGTATAATTGTATGTATATCACTCCCACATTACTATTCTTTATAAATTACTCATATTCTTACGTAATTGTTCATTTCATTAGACTCAAGTGTTTAAGGAACAAATTGAGCAGCTCAAGCAAAAGGTAAAGACACTCAGATGGTGGAATATTCAACCCTAGTAACCTTCTTGTTCTTAATTTTTATAAATGGAGCTTAAAACTGTGCAGGAGAAAGCTCTAGCTGCCGAAAACAAGACGCTCACTGAAAAGGTACAATATATTCTATAAACGAATTTTTCTTATGGGTCTCAAGTTAGGGTTTCACATTTGTTTTTTTCATTTGGTTAAAGTAGTTAAAGTAGTAAAAGTTTGGTTCTTTTTCTTTTGGCTTTTTGGTTAGGAGTCATTATTGTAGTTCTTGGTCAATCTTCAGTAATTACATTCGCATTATTGTAGTGCCAAGATCGCCATGACCTTGGTCCTCTATGTGTTGTTAGATCTTCTTTGCATCTGTTAATGTTGTATGCATAAATATTTATAGTTATTTTTTTTATTGCAGTGGGGGACTCATGAAATCGAAGTTTGGTCGAACAAGAATCAAGAAAGTGGAAGAGGTGAGGAAGAGAGTAGTCCAAGTTCTGAAGTAGAGACAGAACTGTTCATTGGGTTGCCTTCTTCTTCTTCAAGAAAGTGAAGAAACCACTCTCAAAAGAAACCCCAAGTAAAAACATGTTTAGCAGTGAGTGTATAAGGTCAAGTAACAAAACTCTAAAGCTGCTTCTCTTACTCTTAGTCGTCTTTCTCTCTCACTCTCTTCTGTAAAACTGAACTTCATGTGTTATGTATCTATGTTCTTCTACACTTGCTTGCCTACCTAGATGTTTATATGTTTATTGTTCATTTTCAAGTTTTGTTATCATGTATCAACTTATGATTTTCCCTCCAAAACTCTCGTTGTTTCTGTACCATCTTGAACATATCTTTTGTTATATTTATGAACATATCTTTTGTTATAGTTATGAAGCATATGCTCAAATCATGTTTGCATCGACTAACATCTTCTCATGCTTATCGTTTTACTTGTTCTTTGTGATGCTTTTGCGTATAAATCCAAGAACCCATGGGAAGAAACTGATCTTGTGATAGTTTCTTGTTGGATTGATAAATAGTTGGTCAGACAATGTCTTATCCAACCAGACCACAGTAAAACACTAGCTGATCTTCAATTTGAGGTAAAGAGCTTTAAACACACACAGAGACGACATTAAATCACTCACAATAGTGACCCAATTAATCATCCTTTTGAAGATTGGAGACTATCTGGATGTGGCAATCTACTAGGAGGTTTCCGTGTCTCGTCAAGTGGGATTAAGGTTTGTGTGCTCAAGGCAAAGAACACACTCATGGTTGTTTGTTGCCTTTGTAAAACTTCGTTAAGACCCATGTTACGGAACTTTGGATCTGGTTTGTGCACTAATGGTTTAGTAAGATCTGCCTATTTTCTCCTTAACTGGTTTTACTGTTCTTAAAGAACAAACCCATCAAACAAATAATATTTGATAGTGCCACAAGCAACAATCCAAAACAACCAAAAAGCAAGAGGAGAGAGCGAATCTAAACATAAATATATATACAAGCAACACGAACCCGGGCTTAGTTTTTGAAACTTAAGTGTGGCTTTGGCCATTGCTATTATTATCTCCAGGAACATACAGTTCGAAAAGCTTGGCAGATGGGTTAGGATCCTGATGCATAATCTTAGCAGCTCGCTCGAACTCTTCCCTTAACACTCTGATACTAAACTTATCCACAACCCGACCCAGATCATGGCTTGTCTCAAACGGATCCTCTATGCATATCAAATGCCTATCGTTCCCAACCCTTCTCGTCCAGTCCTTCTCTCGCTTCCTGCAACAGCAAAAGATTTCATGTTTTTATCTCTGAGAAGATTTGCTTTTACAGTAACAGTAGGTAGAAAAGATCAACTGTGAACTTACCCAAGTATGGAACCGGTGCGGACAGATACAACGGTATTGGCATAGTCATGCCCGTAAGCCCAGTAGTTGAAAAATCCCCACACCAGCTCAGCTATGGTCTCCCTGTTACTTGATCCGAATGTACTGAGTCTTTCAACGTTATCAAAGTATGCGCACCGAATATTATCAACCCGAACTGAGTATGTCGGCTCCATCTCCTGCACATAGGCGAAAACCCTTTTCAATAAAAGTTCCATCATAAGGATATATCATAGTGTTATCATTCACACCTGTAAGCAAGGAAGAATTGGCGGGCTACGTTGTTGTAAGTAATGAATGCACATAAGAACGTACCTGCAAGAGTTTCACACATAAGAATAAGTCCCGTAAATATAGAATGTAGCTTTGTTTATTAAGTACGGAGGAACTTACGCATAGCTGGAGAGTGTTCCTTGATAAGTTTCATTAACTCTTCTTGATTTTGCCCAGTGTTTGACAATGAAAGCTAATTGCCTTAAACGCACATCTATCAGCGAGTAGTCCCGCAGAAGCTTTGTGTTCACAACAGCTAGCACATTATTGATGCATATATCACACGATATCTCAGTAACAGGATCCATGAGTTTCACTATTGGAACTCTAGCTCGTGTCAGTGCCTACACAAAAATATGTCGAAGATATATAAACACAAGATTCATAACCATAAGCTACATGATCAACATTTTCTAATATTTTACCTGAACATTTTGGAGATCATTTGATTCCAAAATATCTGCAAGCTTAAGCAACATCTCAGGTTTGTTGACATCATCATCTTCGATTGCAAGGCAAACATCGATGTCGCTCTTGGGAAAACCAAAGGAGTTAGCACATGACCCGTAGAGATATAGCTTCGCATTAGGCCATTCTTTGGCAACTAGATTATCTAGCTTGGCCATTAGTTGTTTCTGCTTCTCGAGCTCCTCTTCTGCAGGAATCAGGGACTTGTATACAGCAAGGAAAGGTGCATCATGCCTGTGGATGTCATTTCGACATGCCATATACCTTTTAACCATTCTAAACCTTTGGCCAAGCAGCCACTGACCCCGAGTGTCCATTCTCGATTCCTGACAACAGAAACCCAAACTTAAAACAACTCTTACAACCTAAAAAGTAATCATACTTTCTCTTCACGAGCTAAACACCATTACTCAATGTTCCCAACAAGTCATTAGTAGCATATTAAAACACTATATCATCACACAAACTGAAACATACCTTTTCGCGGGAAGTCCTGCTAGTTTTCTTCCCATCTTTAGCATCCTTATCGTCAGTTTCATCTTCAAGCAAAACAGACTCAACAATATCTTCTCCAAAACCCTCAGTTTCTTCATCAGCAGGGCCAAACTCTCCATTACCTTCCCTCTTCCCCTTACTCAACTGTCCCAAATCCTCTTTGTATTGACCACCTCCACCATGAGCTTCCTTGTTCAGCATCAAAAACGAATCCTGGGCATCAGCTGCCGATACAGAATGTAGATTCGTACCCATAGGCGGTCCAGGATGATCAACCTGTTGACTAAGATTAAACCTGCCCTCATTCTGAATAGATAATCTCCTAAATCTATCATTCTCAGCACTCAAATCATTACCCCATACATTAAAATTCTCGCCCTTTGCATTATCAAGATTCCTCTGGAAACTACCCATCACCCCTCTACCATCATAACTTCTCTGGACACCACCAATCATCCCTCTATCATCATGATTCCTCTGGAAACTAGCCATCATACCTCTACCATCATGATTCCTCTGGACACCACCCATCATACCACTATCACCGTCCTTACTCCCCAAATCTCTATCTAAACCTCGTTGATTACTAGAGAATCCAGGGGGAGGAGGAGGAGTGGACTTGGAAGGCCTGCCGTTATTACCAATGGGACCCCAGTTTCCTCTTCCAATGTTACCTCCTCCTCCTCCTCTGTTGTGTTCATGGAGATGAGAAAAGTTTGGATCTTTCCTAGAATTCAAGTTCCCATTGAGAAACCCACCACCATTAAGACTAGCATCTCCAGAGAAAGAACCAAAAACAAGATTTTGCGGCTGCGGCGGCTGGTGTGCAATCGAGTGATGATTAAGAGCTCCAGTAAACCCTAATCTATAAGCGTCTTCTGCTGATAATCTCTGATTGCCGTCGAATTGATTCGCACCAAAAGGGTTTTGCTGAAACTGAGGAAACCCTAACAGATTGGGAGGCGAAGAGGCGGCGTGCGGCCAAGGAGTACCGTTATACGCCGGAGGGAAAGAATTAACGGTTGGACCAACGGCTGCGATTGCTGGATCGAGAGTGAACGACTGTTGTTGTTGTTGCTGCGGAGGAGGAGGAGCTGGTCTGATCGATGGATTGGTGTTGTTGGTCTGTTGTTGGTAAGGTCTTCTGTGTAGAAGCGAGAGCAGATACTCTCCGCCGTTTTCTGATGGTGGAGCTGGAGACTCACCTCCACCTTCCGCCATTGAAGAGAGAGAAAGTTAACACTTTGCAGACGATTTTGGGAAGTCAGACGATCTTTCAATTTCTCTCACTGTTTGTATGGAACCGATCCGATCTCGTCTGTCCCCTTTTTATATTAGTATAGATTTTATTTTTTCTTAACCGGTTTAAGGCAATCTCTCCAACATCAATAAAGTGGTACGTACAAAACATTGCCTCAAACCGGTTGAAAACCGATCTCTAACTAATAAACCACACTACAACCCTCAATATATAAAAGAAGCTGCAGTGGTACAACCTTTGGTCAATCTTCCACAGAAAAATCTATCGACCGTTGGTGAAGAATGTACACATTGCAAGATAAAGTTCTCACAATTGTGGATTAATAGTTTAATACTCTCACAATGGGAGGGAGGTACCTTGAGAATACTCACCAACCTTTCTTCACCTCTGATCTTGCTTTCCCATTTTATTGTTAAAACGGGTTAGCTACCTCTACATCTTGTGCGGTATCCCCTCACCATTGTTAAATAAGATTTATAGTTTGCTATCTTATTATACAAAAAGCATGACTTAGTGGCAATCCACTCTATTTGAATCAATCCCATGCCCACAATATCTTACATTCCCTGCTCTGCATGTACTTTAAATACCCCCTTTGCCTTTTACTTTCGTTACTTCTTCTCATTATACTCTTTTACTCCTTTAGTAGAGGTTATTGATGATGAATAAAGAGGCTGCAGAGCAAACGGGTATGAGTTGAAAGAGAGGGACAGCAGTATTAGTAGTTCAAAGAGTCTGCAGTGACATACTAATTAATCTTCATAAATATTTGCAAGAATTTAGTGTTAATGGAATTAAACAGTTTCTACAACTTGCAATTAATTTAGGATTTGAGCTCAAAACTAAAACCACATCTTCACCGTGCTTTCTTCCTTGACTTGAATGGAAACCCCATAGGCGGTGAGGGTGAGAACTCAAACGGCAAATGCGGTGGCTCAGACGCACCGGTAAGCATCTGAACAATCTCCTTCATTGTTGGTCTCTTAACTGGAGATCTTTGTAGACAAAGCAATGCAATAGTAACACAAAGAACCGCTTGCTCTTTCACCAATGAATGTATGGACTTATCAACCAACTCCAATAAGTTACCATGACAAGCCAATTGCTTAGCCCATGATATCAGATTAGCCCTCTCAAACTCCGACATGGGAGATGCAGTCACCTGCAACGGCCGTCTCCCTGAGACAAGAACCAAGAGCAGAACCCCAAAACTGTAGACATCACATTTCTCAGACAGCACACCTCCTCCCCCGCCACATTCTGGTGCAATGTAACACACTGTACCTCTCATACTCGGTGTGCTGCTTACTCCACCGCTCTTGTGAACATTCACATCACACCATAAACCAGAATCTTGACTGTGTTTTTTAACTGATTTTAGATCTCCACTTAACCCATCTACCCACCAATCTATACTATTCCTCTTTTTCTTCTTGGTAGGGTGGTTATGACTCTGTTCATGATCATTGTCTCTGTGAAACCAAGAGTCGATGCTTGAGATTGAGCTTATCCCTCTCTTCTTTTTCTTCTTCTTCCTCTTCTTTCTAGTTAGCTCTTCACAAAACTCTTCCTTCCACCACTCTCTAGGCTTCCTCTTCTTCTTCTTCTTCTTCTTCTTAGAGACAGTTGATGATGATGACCCATCACCATTTTTGATCCATTCCTTGTTGTTGTCTTTCTTAATCTCACTCCCAATCCACTCCATCACGTAGTCTTTCACACTCCCTGACTCAATCCCTCCTCTGCTTCCACCATTGTTGTCCTGTTTCCACCACCAATCTCTCTTTGAACCCACCACTTTTTGCTTACAACCACTCTCCACACTCATTTGCTCCAAACAGCTCTCAGAAACACTCCCTTTCTCCGGAGATAATCCCAGTGCTGCTCCCGGAGACGCCGTCAAGACACTAACTGCACAATTCTCCGTGCCCCCCGGGGGAGAAGCTTCCACGGTCAAGACACTAACTCCACAACTCTCAGGCGACAGTACCGATACCACCCCGGGAGATGCTCCAATCTCCGGAGAGAAACTCACTGCATTATTACCCTCTTCAAACAGAGTAATCACACTCTCACTCTCCTCAAGAATCGACCCATTATCTTCTTCAACAACATCTTTTCTCATCTCATCTTCCTCAATCAAAACCCTAGTCTCGTTACCACTAACCAAAGCCTCAGACTTTACCCTCGCCAACCCAAAATCTCCAATCTTCGCCTTGAAATCAGAATCAAGAAGAATATTACTCGGCTTCACATCACCGTGTATAATCGGCGGATCACAACAATGGTGAAGAAACTCAATCCCTTTAGCAACATCCGTCGCAATTTCAAACCTTTTGCTCCAATCCATAAGCTCCACACACTTGAGGCCAAGAAGCGAATCCTGCAAGCTGCGATTCGCCATGAGCTCGTAGACGAGTACAAGCCTCCGGTTACGACGATCCTCCGAGAATCCGAGGAGAGAGACGACGTGAGGCGAATCGGTCAAGTGAGAGGAGAGAGAGAGCTCGTTGTGAAACTCGCGCTCCCCTTGTAACGACCCGGCGGAGGAATCCATGACTTTGACGGCGAGGGAGGTTCCGCTAGGGAGATCGGCTTTGTAGACGGTGCCGAATCCGCCGTGGCCGAGCTGGGTGGAGTCGGAGAAGGAGTTGGTTGCGCGGCGGAGCTGGGTGTAGGAGAAGCGGCGGCATTGGTAGTGTTGAGGAGAGGTTAGGGCGAGATCTGAGGGGGTTGTTCGGTTACGGGAGAGTTTACGGTAGAGGAGGATTGTGATGAGGATTATTAGTAGGGCTCCGGTTAAGGTGAGTGAACCGGTGAGGATTAGAGGAAGCGTGTGGAGATGGTGGTGAGTGTTGGTAACCGGTGGAGGAGTATCAGGTGGAGAGAGGCGAGATGGCATTTTTTGGAGGATTGAGAAAGTCTCGGTTTAAGTCGGAGGAGGATCCATAGAAGAAGAAGGTTAAGGTGATAAGGGAGCGTGGCGAACGGGTGATGTTAAAGCGCGTGACGGTGAGATTCACGAGGGTTTTCGGGTTTTTAGTTTTGAAAGGGTCCCACAGTGGACCTACGAGATTTAATTGAGGAAAGTGATGGGGAAGTCAACCTCACTCGCCTCCGTGGAGTCACGCGCTTTTGTCATCTGAGTGTGGTTTTACCTAACCGGGTGTGCTAATTTAATCGGGACCATTGGTATAAATAAACAACAAGACGTTTGTTTTATCGACTGAAGCCATGTGATAATGTTTGAAGTTATATACTCAGAAGCTTTGCTCAAAAAAAATAAAAAAAAATATATATATATATATCCTCAGAAGCTAGATATTTAAAGGGAAAATCGCAGGGAACAAACGTCTTGTTGGCTTGAGCTAACCGGTGATAAAGTGCTAATTTAATCGGGACCATTTGATTAAACAACTAGACGTTTGTTCATCGACTAAGCATGTGATAATGTTTGAAGTTTGAGTACTTCGTTTACAAAACTTATTCGGATAATTTAAGAGAGATTTGTATAAGAAAAACTTATATACTCAGAAGCTAGATATTTAAAGCTATATAACCATAGATTTTTTTAATTTATGAATCTGTTCCTTTTTATGTGCAAACGTGCTAGTGACGTCAGCGAGAAGAGACATTGTTCTGGTCGCTTTTTGTGGTGATGAGATCTTGACCTTTTCAGATTCGTCCTTTATCGCTTTGGTCTGACTCTCGTTGGATCTTCGCTTTATGGTTTTGTTTTGGTTTAACTCTTTGCCCAATTTTGAACCAAAAATACAAGTCACTAGGTGTAATTAGGGGTTTGACTTTTGGTAACATAACTTTTTACTGTAAAGAGAGCAAGGAGAGAAGCGACAACACATAAAGCTTGTCAGGTTATTGCAGATTAATATGAATCTTTTTGCTTAGTTTTTTCAAAAAGAGAATCGAGATTAGAGAAGAAAAAGTGATTGAGTAGAGTAATAGAAAGCTCATGTGAGGTTCCACTACTTATCTCTTTTTTCTTCAAAGAAAAATTAAGAATCATTTAACATTACTATACGGAGCGTTACAGCCAACACCTGTAGGGGCCCGTGACCGTGTCCCTCCAACTCTCCCCACCGTTACATAAATTAAAAGTTAAGTTTTTGATAAAAAAAAAAGAAGTTAAGTTTATAATGTTTTAATAGTAATTAACACAAAAAGATTTTGATGATAAATATAATACTAAAAAACTTTAATAAAGTAAAAAATCAAAAACTGGATTTTGTCGTGATTGATCAGATATTAGTATTTGTATGTGTTTGATCATACAAAAGCAAACACATGTTTGCTATATTTTTGTGTTTGGTCATACAAAATAGATTATTATTATTATCAACGTAAATTATTTCAAATGTGTTATTAGTATGAGTATTTTCTCTATCCTTAGATATAAAGTAAAAAATAATTCACTTATGTGCCATGATTATTAAAATAAATTTTTTTACCAATATTTATATGGGTAAATAAATTCTAAATTCTGAAATAAATCTCACACAACATATACAAATATTACAATAAGAAAATTATAAAAGAGATTTTAATAGTAGTTTTCTTTTTTTCAAATCCTAAACAAAAACAAATGGTAAAAACTTCTTTCAAATATTATTTATGCTTTTCTCTTCTTAAGCTGATAATTATTTTTAATATAAATATACTAAGATAAGAAAAATAAAATTTGAAAATATTAATTTAAAATTTGTTTAAAACTAGAAAGAAGAAGTTAAAAGTGTTTAATTGTATATTTTTAAACACTTTAAGAATTACAAAGTTCCAAGTGATACATTAAGGGAAAAATAAAAGATAAATAAGATGTTATTAGACACCAAGCAATAGAGAAAGGGATTTCACCAACTCCAATCATTGATGAGCCTCCAAAGCGAGTAAGTGATGGAGCCAAGCTGGTGCATTTCGGGCGATGTACGACTGGTGGCGCAGATCACGAGTACACTTAAGCAATTGCCGCTGCAGCTTCATTGCGTTTAGGAAGAGCGTGATCCAGACTCCATGAATCTATCCTTGCGAGAAGAAAAGATATATCGTGTCGAAGAAGGCTGAGGCTATGGTGATCGGCAGTTGTGAGAAGGTCATGGAGGCTCTCCGAGGACGTCTCAAAGATTATATTTGAGAAATGTAGATTATGTAAGCATTCAATCGCCCAAAAAGAACCCATAAATTTGTCTCTGTTTTTGTTCGCATACATGAATAGGTGCGCCGACTGTGCATGAGTGTACGCCCATTTTCATTACGTAAAATTCATGAAGCACCACTACGATGATTTGAGGCTACCCATGAGGATCCCACATTACATTTAAGGACACCATTGGGGGGTGTTTCCATCGAACCCTTTCCTTATCGACTCCACCAACATCATCCTTTGTTCATGTGAATGTATCAAACCAAGTGGATTCTTCTTTATAGGCTTTCTTAGCAATAAATGAAGACTCCATAACTTTGGTTTCAAAAACAAAAACATTCATAGCTTTCTATATTTCCCACAGCAACCAAAGAAAAACTTTTCTAATATGTATATCCGTAGAAGAGTTTTTACCAATCTTGATCAGGTGCACAAAATTTTAAAAGGTAGAATTCCGAGAGAAACCTCCAGAGGGTAACGGGAAGTTGGATTGCTCTCATGTGGCATGTGCTTTATCACATGTAAAAAGAATATGACATATACTCTCAGTATCATTACCACAAACAGAACATGTTGTGTCTATCGGAATACCCCTAGTACTCAAACGTTGCTTAACAGCGAACGCACCAGATAGAGCACGCCACATAAAATTTTTATTTTTGGTGGAGCTTTAGTCTTACACAAGTCTCTCCACAATTGTTTTTCAATAGGAGTGAGAGAGTGTCCTTGAGGTTGATCAAATTCTACCAAAGCCTTTAACAACTTATACCCACTTCGAGTCGAATATGATCCACTTGGTGTGTAGCCCCATCTAACCGAATCATCAAGTACCGGTGATGGTTTCAAAAGTAGGATCCTTTGAACATCCTGTGGCGTAGTCTGATGTAGAAAATTAATATTCCATTGAGTTGACCCAGGTATGAGTAATTTTCATACTTTTAGCGTTAAGTTTATTGAACTATTCTCACGGTACATTGCCGGCCGAGGAACGGTGTCAATAATCCAATTTTCAGCCCACACATTAGTATTAGCCCCATTGCCAATATGTCGATACAAACCCTTTTTGAGTAATTCTCTACCATGCATGATACTTCTCCATGCATACGACGGACGCGTTCCCATTCCAAAGTCAAGAAAATTTTCATTTTTGAAGTATTTTCCTTTAAGAATTCTAGAAACCAAGGAATCAGGATTATTCCATATTCGCAAAGCTTGTTTCCCGAGCAAAGCCTGATTGAAATGACCAATATCATGAAACCAAGACCCCCTTGTTCTTTGGGTTTACATAATTGTTCCCAAGAAACCCATGGGATCTTTCGTTTTTTATCTCCATTACTCCACCAGAACTCTATAATCACACTCATAATTCGTTCACAAAGACCTTTTGGTAACTTAAAAACTGACCTTGAATATTGGGAGAGCTAGAGCCACCGATTTAATTAAAACTTCCTTAGCCCTCATTTACAGAGTTTTAGAGTACCACCCCTGTAACCTTCCTTCTAATTTTTCTTTGATAAAATTTAAGAGATCGTTTTTTGAACCTTGAAAACCTTATGAACCTTCACCACCTTCCTTCTCTATACCCAGAACCCCTTTCTTAATGTTTAATTGTATATCATACACTTTCTTAATGATTGTGATTTCAGTTCTATTACAACATACAATTTATTATTTATTATTTATTATAGCTTTGGTCGCCATAAAAATTCAATTAGTAAATTCTATTCATAAATAGTTATTTAGATAATAAGGATTGAAAAATATGGTATTCACAACATACATATTTGTGGCTACAAAAGTTAAAGTAGTATTCAAATGCATAATGTATTAATAGTTTCATTACCTATATATTACATGATAAAATGTTGATCCAGTTTCCCTTAGTTAAACAAATAAGATAATTTTCAATTCACCTACAGATTCATTAGTATATGTTCTTTTGAAATAGTTAACTTGTATTATAAAGGTATATTTGCTTAATTGTATGATTTTGTAATAGAATTTTTTTATTTTTATAGAAATATAGAGTAAGACTATTTTGTCTCTAAATATAGAGATGTAATTTTATTAACTACATTTTCTTTTAACGGAGAGAAATTCTAAAAAGTGCATATATTGTCACATATTTGATTGCCTTGATTCAACTTTCTAATTTATTGTATTTTATTCTAATTCATATTTTTCCAGGGTTAGATTCAATTTAAATTTTTGGGTTTGGATTTTTTCTCTACCCCTAAATTCAAAATTGCTAATAACTATTTATGCACTATGATTACTGAAACCTAGCCAACAGAAAGAAAATATTACTGAAACATAAATACTAACCAAAACTTATGTGGAACAACAATTTTTATTCCTAAAATAAGTTTCACATAATATATGGAAAAATCCAACGATTGCAAAATTATTTTTAGGATAATTAGGAAAATACCTTATTTAGGATTTAAATTTGAAAAATACACTGTTTATTTTGTTTTTTGAAAACTACACTAATTCATTTTTGATAAGAAACTTTTTTCCTGATTTAAATTAAAGTTATATTTAATTACAATGTAGGTTAAGGGACACACTAATATTCTAACCAAATTGTGTGTTGCGGTAACAAAAGTTATTTTGACTAGGTGTTTAATTCATAAGAAACCACGTAAGATTTCCTAATGGTTGTATTGTACATTTTTTCAGATTACTTAGTTATGAATGAACTCAAGTCATAAATTCAGGAGGTTGTAAAGAAGATGCAGAAGAGCATCTCTACGTAATATTCTTTTGTTTGACAAGATACATAATGGAATGACTAGATAAGCAACAACTTGATTGTAGGGATATCGCGCGTAATTTTGCTTCCGACTCTGTCATATGTATAGTTAGAAAGAGTTATAAACCTTTCAATCCTATTTGTGGAGACATGTGAGATGATCATCTAAGGTGGGAATGGGATTTCATTTTTTTCTGAGCATGTGAATACTCATTATTCTCCAATGAGTGCTGCTGCTCACACCGGTAACAAGCACTTCACATATTACGTCATCACAAAGTAAAAAAATAAGCTTAACCATGTTGATGTTTACGTTGTTGGTAGGAAACTTAACTTATGATATTTGCGCTTCTCTCTCACTTTGGGCATATTCTATCTATTAAGATACTATAGTTTCATATGTCATATTTTTACACTAAGATCACAAAATATTCCGATCTACACAAGTGATGTAGCAATTGTGATAGACTTTCAATTCAAAACAAACGCAACTAAAAATTGTTAGTTAGGATTATGATAATTTAGTCTTTTCATTTACAAATAAGTATAGTTTTCAAAAGAATAAAAACACAGTGTAGTTTTCAAAATAAAATTTCTTATCATGGTATTTTTCCAAATTTCCTCTTTTCTCATTTTTATTTTTTTATGAAATTAAAACATCAATTGAAACCCGTGCAAGCACAGATCCATACCTAGTACGATGTAAACTGATGTAATGTATATACGAACTACCTTTGGACCAAAGATGTCTGTCATACCAGCGTCCACAAATACAAAGCATTGTGGAAGACAAGCTTCGGTATCTCTTCCCATTAACGGAAATCTGACTCATCAAAATATTCCAAAAGCCTTTCCCCAACACAGGAACATATACGTTTGCCACGGAAGTGTCTATCGTTGAATCCACCAAAAATTATTTGACCAGCGTGTTGAACTTCATCTCCACGAGGCTTGCGGGCGGTCATCCATATAGAGAAGATTTGTTTGCTTATTAATTTTGTTTCCACCAGTTTCTCCAACACTGTTTGGGCTCCAACAATCTTCAGAGAGGGCAATCCCAGTCCAAGTATTCCATCAAATTTGACTGGTGTAAAGTGATGATCTGGTGTAAACCCTGCGCCTCAAGAATAATCCTACCTAGCATGAGATTATCTTGAGATAGGATATCTTTCAGTGCACCCACTGTATATTTAATATCTACGTTTATTTTTCCTGTAAAACGAGAGATTGATGATTAGTCGAAGACGAGATAGAAAAACTAATTTAAGGTTGAATGACTAATCGATTCTGTAAAGTGAAGACTGTGTTGGTCTAACACGCTTAGATGCCCTAAACAAACTTTTAACAACATATTTTTACATCCTAATAACCATATATATATATATATATATATAATATTTGTTAATATTATCACCAACATTTTGATCATAATCATTCTAATTTACTAAAATCAACTGTTAATACAAAATCTTACATTTAAACAATTGTATTTTAATTAAATTTTATATAACTTTTACTTATATTTTTCTTAATTTTTACTTATATTTTATATGATTTTATTAAATTTTATATGTAAAAATAATTTATATCTATTTGATAACAATAATAGTATTTGTAAGAACATTAGTGTTGTTTATATTATTTTTATTAACAATAATAATATTTGTAAAGACATTAGTGTTTGTTTGAATAATTTTTATTAATAAATATGTAACACGGATAATGAGAAACATCTAAACAAATTAAATAAGCATTAGTTGCACTAGATATGGGTCCGTGCGTTATACGGATTTTATTTGATGTTTTAATATTTATAAAATATCAAAATAATAATTCATTTTATAGTTTTATGCTTTTTTGCATATGTTGTATGAGGTTTATTTTAGTAATTAAGAATTTGTTTTTCCATAAAAGTTCTTATTAGTTTTATGATTTTTTTTGCATATGTTGTATGAGATTTATTTTAGAAATTAAGAATTTGTCTTTCCATAAAAGTTCTTATTAGTATTTATATTTTAATAAGCACAGATTTTATTTGTTGTTTTAATTTTACAAAGAATATAAAATAATAAATTATTTTATATTTTTGGATTAATTTTGTATATGTTGTGTGAGATTTATTTCAGAATTTAGAATTTGTTTACCCACATAAATATTGGTAAATATTTATATTTTAATAATCATGGTCATAAGAGAATTGTTCTTAAATTTGTACCTAAGGCCAGAGAAAATACTTATACCTAAAATTTAAACCAAATTCAGTTTGAATTAAGAATTAAAGTGAAAAAAACTGAAAGTTAAATAAGGTCAATCAAATTAATGATAATATCATACAATTGCCATTTCTTAATTTGTGATGATAAATCTTAAAATAAAGAAATAAAGAATTTTATTATTTACTGTAATAAGGTTGAAGAAGACGATCTTAGAGGTAATAAAAAATTTCTTCTAATTTAATTTTAAGTATATGATGTTTAATATCATATATATCATTTGGAATTTTTATATAATTTTATAAACTTAGTTTCATCCCTTAAATATTAAACTCTACACACTAAGACCTAAATTCAGATGTTATGGGATTTTTTTATGTAGTATTAAAAAATGTATTCAAGTTATAGTATTTCAGATAATCTCTTTAGTTTTTTCCAGTTTTTGAATTTGTAATTTTTCCTATATGTACTTAATTTATAATTATTTTCAAAATAATTGTTTCTCATTTCTAACTAAATATTAAGCCATTTTATTAAAATTTTCTGTTATTAAACAATTTTCTAAATTCATTTTAATGATATATTTTCATAACAACAATTTAATAAAATAGATTAGAAATACTATATATGAAAAACAAATGTAATAAGATGACGATGAAACATGATTTGTTTTTGACTAAACACATAAAAATCATTTACGTTGATAATAGTAATGATATATTTTCATAAAAACAATTTAATAAAATAGATTAGAAATACTATATATTAATCACAAATATAATAAGATTATGATGAAACATGATTTGTTTTTGACTAAACACATAAAAATCATTTACGTTGATAATAATAATAATAATAATAATCTAGTTTTTATGACCAAACACAAAAATATATCAAACATGTGTTTGTTTTTGTATGAGCAAAACACATACAAATACAAATATAAGGACCAATCACGACAAAATTCTATTTTTGATTTTTTAATTAATTAATTTTTTTTAGTGTCATGTTTATCATCAAAATCTCTATATTTTAAATTACTATTAATTTTGCAAAATAAAACATTATATTTTATAAAATGTTTTATTTATAACTTAAAAAATACCATAAAATACTATTTTACATTTTTTGTTTAATTTTTTAGAAAACAAAAATTACTATCGTACAATCATTTACATAAATAAATTGAGTATAACTATGGCAATAACTAATGTACGTCAGCATAACAAATAAAACAAATATAAAATCATCACCAGTTTTAGCATAAAAGAACATAAAAAAGTATTTCAAATAATTATTCTATAAATATTATTTGCTTAGGATTTGAAAAAAAATGGAAGAATACTATTAGATACTCTTTTATAATTTTCTTATGTTCAAGATTTTAGGAAAGGATAATTAATATTAAATATTTTTTTTCACATACCATTTCTTCATTATTTTAGAATATGATAATTAGTATCAAAAAATTATGTTGCAAATATTTTTTTTTGTTTAAATTTCGTAAAAGAAAATGGTTTATAAAAATTGATATTAATTAATTTTTAAAATTACTTTTATTTGTAAAATCGCTTTTATCATTTAGTATAAATATTTTGTTAATCATGATTTATTTTAACATATATAAAAAAACTAAAAGCAAAATTACTGTCAAAAAATCTTTTATAATAATATTTTCTTAGAATTTTAGAAAATCTAATTGGTAATTAATAATATATTTTATGAATATTATTTTTTGGTTAGGATTTGTAAAAAGGAAAGCTACAATTAAACACCCTTTATTTTTTTCTACTTTTACACAATATTTAAATTAATATTTTTAAATTAGTTTTTTTTATTATTTTAAATATTTTTGTTTAGGATTCGTGAAAACCAAAATTACAGTTAAACACTTTTAACTTTTTCTTTTTACTTTTAAACCGTTTTTAAAATTAATATCTTCAAAAAAAATTTTTATTATTTAATATATTTATATTAAAAATAATATTAGCTTAAGAAGAAATTAGCATTAATAATACTTGAAAGAATTATTCTACAATTTTTTTTTCTTTTTAGAATTGAAAAAGTAAAACTACTATTAAACTTTCTTTTATAACTTTCTTATGTTCAAGATTTTAGAAAAAGACAATTACTATAAGATTTTTGTTTTCATTATGTTAGTATCAACTAAACTTGTAAATGTAAAAATCGTTTTCATTATCTTAGTATATAAATTGTGTTAATCATGATTTATTTTACTATATATAAAAGTTTGAAAAGGAAAATTACTATCAAATAATATTTTCTTTAGGATTTTAGAAAAGACAAATTGGTAATAAATAAATTATTATACGAATATTTTTTCTTAGGATTTGTAGAAAGGAAATCTATAACTAAACACCCCTTACTTTTTTAAAATTTAAACAACATTTAAAATTAATGTTTTTAAAATTCAATTTATTTTTATTTGTATAAAGAAAAACAACAATTCAAAAATTATAAGTTATTTTTTGTTTACTTTAATTATTTTGTTAAAATTAATATCTTAAAAGTTCATTTATTATCTTAAGATATATATTAAAAATCATCATCAGTTTAAGAAGAAAAGAACATAAATATATTTGAAATAATTTTATACAAATACTTTTTTTAGGATTTTTTTTAAAAAAAAACTATTAAACATTCTTTAATAGCTCTCTTATGTTCAAGATTTTTGAAACGGACAATTACTATAAAATAGATTTTTTTCAAATATCTTTTATTGGGAATTTTGGAAAAGAAAAATCAGTATCAAAGAAATTATTTTGCAAATCTTTATTTGTTGGAATTTGTTTTTAAAAGAAAACGGTTTAGAAAAATTGCTATTAAATTTTCAAACATTATTTTATCTGTAAGACCATTTTTTATTTTCTTTTATATACATTTTGTTAATATGATATATTTTTTAATATAAAAATTCTAATAGGAAATTTACTATCAAATATTATTTTTTAAGGATTTCAGAAAAAGAAAATTGATAATAATCTATTTTACGAACAGTTTGTTGTTTAGGATTTGTAAAAATGAAAAATACAATTAAACACTCTTTATTTATTTTTTTACTTTTTTAAAAATTATTATTTTCAGAATTATTTTTTATTTTTATTTTAAATCCTTGTATTTAGGATTTCTAAAAAGGAAAACTAGAATTAAAAGCTTTTAGATTCTTTTTTTTTTCAATTTTAAAGAATTTTTAAAAATAATATTTTCAAAATTCTTTTTTATTATCTTAGTATATATATTTTTAATCATTAGAATTTTAATACATGCCACAATATTAAATGGAAAATTACTATCAAATATTGTTTTTGTAAATACCCTTTATTTAGAATTTGAAAAATGGAAAATTACTATTACATAATATATCTAATTATTTTTTAACAAAATTGATTTTTTTATTATATATATATTAATTATGAAATAGTTTAACACATGTGACAATTATAAATATATAATTTATATGTGTCACAATCTTGTTAATTAGTAACTTTGAAGAACCAAGTTTTATATAATAAGATTATATAAAGTTTGATTTTCAGAATTACTAATTATCATGATCGTGACACATGACGATTATATATTTAAGATTATAACAAATGTTAAATATCAATATTTATTTTAAAAACTTAAACCGAAAGAATTTAATAGTTAGTTTTACTCTTTAAAAGAATCTTAAACATAAACTTTAAAAAGTTAGTTTCCTTTTTCTAAACAATCTTAAACAAAAAACTTTAAAATTTATATTTCTATATAATATTGAATAATAGTATTTTTTTAAAGTTACTAATTAAGAGGATTATGAAACGTAAAAATTATATATTTAAGATTATGACATGTGTTAAACAAGAGGTTCTATTTTTTTTTAAAAAAAATTAAACCAAAAGAATATAAAAACAATCTAAAAAGTTAACTTTCCTTTTTTAAAATTCTTATACAAAAATATTTCTATATAAATAAAATTTTAACAATGGAATTTGTTTT